TTTTAACATTATTTAATTTTTTACTTTATAAATGTATTGACTGACCTTAATTTTGACATTTCACATTTTTATACCTAGTTAGTTTTGGGAAGGTTAAATGAATACAATTGTGAATTCTACTAATTTATAAGAAATCGGTAGTATTGGAAGGAAATTTTTAGAGTTCAGAAATTTGAAAAGGGGTTGTTGCTGTATTAGGTTAGGGAACTGTCGCTATAAATGCTTCCATTTTGGCTGCAGGGTTTTGTAGGTGATGTGTAGTTATAAATTTAATGCTTGGACCAGTTGAGTTTTGTAATTACTGTCAAGCTACAATTTAATTAATTTGATTTATTAATTTAAGGTAAACGGGTTAATGAAACTCAGTATACCTATTGTTGTTTATTGTGACAATCATTCTGTTTATTTACACTTCAATTATACAGTTTTTGATAGGAATTTTCCTAAAAACAATTTATAAACAATCTCATTCTTTTTAGGATTGTAACTTTGGCGCCATAGGTACTTCAGAGTTGTTTGCAGATTACTAGATAAAAACAAATTGTGTTTTTCTTTTCAGACGTTGCTTTCTCAGAACTATGACAAACATCCGATATTTATACTTAAAGACGTGAAATTTCAAGAGTTAAAAGCTATGATGGATTACATGTACAGGGGTGAGGTCAACATATCACAAGACCAGTTAGGTGCGCTATTAAAGGCAGCAGAATCGCTGCAAATTAAAGGCCTTTCTGACAACAGAAAGGGCGAATCTGAGACGAAAAAGACTGTAGTGCCTCCTCCTGCAAAAAGTCCCACGCCACAAACGTCCACAATACCGAAAGTACAAGGCCTGACGATAGAACAACGTAAATCGAGGGACTTTGACGACACACGAGAGGGCTCACAATCACCGGGCCCCCGAAAACGCAAAAGAATCCGTCGTAAAAGTACAGACGACTTAGATAATCATCAGGATGCCTCAAATTCGTCAGAATCTCATAGTAGTCAAGCACCACCTGTCCAAAACATTCCATCGTCATTACCCGCAGCTTCAACAATTGCCAATGTGCCTGAACCCATAGAAACCAAATCGGAAATATTAACGAGGCATAAAACGTCCGTCGCCAGTAACGAGTCAGATCTCTCTCAAGTTCCTATTATTAAAGAAAAGATAGAAACGCATTCTGAAATAATGCTAGAACCAAAGTCTGAGTATGTAGAAGAAATGAATGAAGAGGAGAGCATAGAGGATCTGACACTGGATGACGATGACCTAAGTAATATGGAATTGAGTGGGAATCAGGGCGCTGGTCCTAGTCACGGGAATGCCGGCGAGGGATCGAGTCAAGGTAATAAATGGTCTTGAAGGATTTTCCTATTTATTTTACAATCGTTGTTAAAGACGATTCTAAAATACCATTAATTACAGGTTTTGGGAATTGGCATATGGGTAATCAAAATCAAGATGAAGTATTTTTGGCGGCACAAGAAGCTGTTGGCGCACATAGGGACTCGCAAGGTAGGATTTATGTTCCTATTAAAGTACCCCCTTCCTTGTTTGCAGTTGGTGTATTATATGATGCAAAATAAATGTGAAATTACAGGAAATAGATAATGAGGACAAAAGTCACATTTCTCAAAAACATGTTTTATGCTTAAGTAAACATGTAATTGGGAGGTGGTATTATTGTTTCCTATGATTAGTTGAAGACGTGCATACTTTTGCATGTATTCAAATATCATAGGTAATACTTATTTCTTTATTTTTTATAAAATCAGTGGTCATAATAGAAATATCAGTTTATATTCACTTAATTGGTAAAACTATTTTGCAGTTCACCTTTTTGCTTACCCAGTATTCTAATATTGGAAAATTATTGGTCATAATTTGGTAATTAATTCTCAGACTTTTTTATGAGCAACCTATTGTACAAATAAATGCACTGTTTGCATTCAGTGGAAGGGGGTAATTATAATTTTTTTTCACTTGCGGGTGTATGGCAAAATTTACATCATGTCTCTGATTTATATTATTTTTAGATATCTGAGTAGCTTTGGTTTATTTGGCCTATCCTTGCTTACTTTTTGTAGTATTTGCATCCCTTCATTATTTTGTACCCTTTCCCCTTGAGCAGCTTTTTAAGATCCATCAGGAATTGAGGCTGTGAGTTTTGGACCTGAGATCATCTTTTACTGAACTGCCCATTCGCGTGCTAATTGTAGAGAACTTTCAATTAATTTTCTTGTGTACTTGGAAAATTTTACTTTGTAGTTTTTTCAAATTTTTTTTTCGAAGTTTTAATATTGCAAGTCGGGTTCGTTCGTGAAATAAACGAAAGTTTCTTTATTGTAAGTGAACAATAAGTTGTGTGAACATTATTAATTAATCGCGAAGTGTTTGAAAATTATTCATTGAAACATGTGTTTGGCTTGCGTTCACACAGAAAATTTGTTCTTCCTTGATATGATTTGAGCTCTTCAGTGTTGGCTGAGAAGTTTTCCAAAGGTAAGAAAGGGGAAAGTGGCTTTTAGAAACATAATGTTGGTTATTGAATTAAAAATTCCTGATTTTTGATATTGTATGAAGCTGTAAAAGGCTCACTGAATGGTTTTTTAATATCCAACATTCTGCTTCTTTGGAAATCAGAGACTGATGGTCTCTTTGCATTTAAGCTTTTTTCTTACCCTTGATATATTACCTTTTGATTTTTTTTATTCCCAAGACGGTTTTGCCATATGCTAGCAAGTGCTTAGTTTGGGTTTTAGTATGTATACATTGAATCAAATGGTAATTTGATTTCCAACTTTAAATTTTCCCAATACAAACATCCATTTGATTCGATGGTTTGGTAATACTGTTGGCCTTCTATGGTTACTTCGCTATACTGTATTTAGTTACAATTCTAGCCTGAAAATAACTATTTTTTTGCATGATGATTTTATCGGTTATTACGTATTTGAATATTACAAAGCATCTTCGGAAAACTTTGTATTATAAAATTTTTTATGTAACTTCACAAGATAATGGTGGGTGTAGTGGAAATTAAAAAAATGTAATTCTTCGCGCTCTTGCGATGAATGAGGTAAAAAGAAAACAGACACTAGTTTGCTGCACAATTTATGCAGTGAATGAATTACACTGGTATTACTAATTAAACATGTAATTCACCGCTTAGTGAATGAGGTACTATAAATCCAAAATTACACTATTCAATTTTATGGTATTAGTAGTTTGCTAATTTTTTTAGCAAATGAGGTATAAAGTATCATGTTTGATATAATTTAATTAATTATAGTTTGTTATAATTAATATAACAGACAAGGTATGGGGTGTGGGGGCAAATTTGTTCTGTAAAGTGAAAAAACGTAGTTTGTTATGCTTATAACAAACGAGGTAAAAGATGATTTTACTAAAGTGTGAATTTTAATTTTTATTGCGGGTTGTTTTTGCTATTTGTAGTTCTTCGTAACTTTCGAAGAACGAGGTATTGCAACAAAGGAATGTAATTCGCTGCAGTTTTTGCAGCGAATGAGGTATTTTACAATACAAGCTTCAATAATAATCACCTCAGTTAAATATAAAGTAATTCACTCCGTTTGTAGTGAATGAGGTAAAAATGGATAAGTTTGCAGGGCCTTTTTTTTCAGGTAAAAGGGAGACAATATAAGGTGGTAAGATATGTATAATAAAGACCTCACAAAATATTTGTGAACGTGTTTATTTTTCTTTACGCTCAGTGCTTCGGTTTCTTGAAGATGTTTTGAAGATTTGTTCACCCCACAATTTGTGTAGTTTGCTATTTTTTAATAGTAAACGAGGTATATTTGTTTTATTCAACAATTTACGACACAACTCGTATTTCTGAAAATTCATATGAATTTGAATCAGGATATGAGTAACAATTTTTTTAATGTAGTTCATTGTATTTTCAATGAATGAGGTAATCATTGAACAGTGGAGTGAATAATTAGGTTTATTTATTTGTAGTTTACTGGACACTTTTCAGTAAATGAGGTACTTCGGTGGTCCTTACTGTAATTTTTGAGTTTGTACTTCTGAATTATGTACTCGTAGTTTACTGGCATTTCAGTAAATGAGGTAAAGGTTGGTGATCTAATTGTAATTTTCGAGTTTGTGCTTCTGAAGTCTTTCCAATATTAATTATGTAACTAACTGCAATTTACAGTTAGTGAGGTAATTATAAAACGCTATAATAGACTAAAGTGCTGATCGTTGTGGTACGGTTACATTTCCAGACTTTTTTTTAGGTTGTAGTTGGTTATGCTTTTTAGCCAACGAGGTAATTTGGAGGTATTGTATGGACTGCAATTACGATAAATAGCATTTCTATTTATTTTAATTGCAGAAGGGACTGACTGCAGTTACACTTCATAGGTATTTGTTCTGACAACTGTTGTGTGAATTTTAAAAATACGTGATCATCATTGTGATTCTCCAATTTGACATCACAACTGGATTATCTGTAGCCATTTGGTGAGGTAATTTTGTTATGAAATTCAGGTGGGTTTTAGTATTTTTTATGTTACGGATAATTTTAAATGAATATTGCAAGGTAGAACCAAATCCCAAAGTAATCCAATGCGCAAGGATTAACAATTGTACCAGTTGATTTAAGTAATAAAACGTTTTAATTTGTGCTGTATCTTTTATGATCTAAATTTTGTAATGGCGACGTTGACGTCTTGTTAATGTTATCAATATAAAGTTTGATCATACAAGATACTGCATTGGTATGTATCAAGATTTATATGATACGATACTAGTGTGAAAATCGTGAGTGTTGTATGCGTCTATTTAAACTATAAACTTCTGAGATTTGTACTTCTAAAGTTTCAATTTTGATTTGTTCTGCTTAAATGGCAGACGAATCAAAATTGCGACTTTAAAATTGCATTTCTTATTTAAACGCAAAACAAATAACTGATTTTAAAAGTAGTAAGCAGGCCAATCATTCTGGCTTTAATTAACCAGAATGACTGGACTGGGTGGCGGTGGGTACTTACTACAAAAACAATAATATTTTTAACTAAGAAACAAAGCAAGCGTCTGGTGATAAGGTGTTGCCATCATTCCTCTGTGGATTTGCTCATGGATGAAGATTTTGCACTTCTGCAAGGCTTACTGATAGCATCCAAAGGTAATAAAAAGGGCGGTGGAAAGTGGAATGTATGCAAGTTGGTCAAAATTATCGAAAATGTTTTTTAACGACCAAAATTTGGTTAAAATAATGTAATAATATTGCATGGCCTGTAAACTTCCAGCAAATTGTTTTTGGTATTTATTTCTCTTGTGGTTTCTCTTTCAAATTTTTAAAGTAAATGTTATTGATTTGCAGTGAAAACTATTTTGGCAGTTTTAATATTTAGAATGAAAGAATATGTTTCATTGTTTCGTTTAATAAGTAAAAATTTATATTATTTTAACTGTTATGAAAGTTGCGATTTATCCATGTCCTGATTACAAGGAAGTAGTCTTGTATATATGAAAAATATCTAATAAAATAAATATTTAAAAATACTTGTTTTTAATGTGTATCTGCGATTAGAAAATTGGGTACTATCCAGAAAACGAAGAGTGCTAAGCTGTGAAAAGTATACTTTTTGGAAAAGTTTGCAAAAGCACCCGGATTCTTGAAATTGGTTACAAAAATCACGAACGAGTACTGTTTGGTATTGTTGCAAGCTTTTTCTTGAGAAGTTTGTGTTGAAAGTAATTGTGCAAGATTGAGATCACAGCAACAAATTTCAATTGAGGGCTATTGATTTCAGGGGAGCGCAGCTGGTATCTGACTTTAAACAAACCTAACTGTGCAGGTGGGTTTAGATGCAACAGCTGCGGCCGAATCTACAAACATCGAGGCAACATGCGCAGGCATATGGTTTATGAGTGTGGTAAACAAGCGCAGTTTGAGTGCCCTTTTTGTTCCCGAAAATTTCACCAACAATCTAATTTAAAAAGACACATTGACAGTCAACATAAGGCCCAAAATAACCTATTAGACGATGACTATGCAATTCCTATTGCAATTCCAAAAAGTTTGTGTAAATTTGATTAATGAGTGCGTTTGATTGATTGATTGGTCATGAAATGTAAATCCTATTAAATCTAGTCATGTACATTAAAAAAAAGAATTAAATATTAAGACTTTGAGAAATATGAGGTCGAAGGTAGGTAATTCAGTGCACTTCATGAGGGAAGTGTACTGGATCATTTCTGGCGTCTCGTCGATTGTTCTTCTGATGGAGTTGTTGAGAGTTTTCAGCATTAGAAGCAGACCACATGAGTATGAGATAAACGAAAAGGTAGGTAATAAAAGATGAAGGAATCTCCAAGAAAAAAAAATTAAAAACTTTGTCGATACAAAATGCATAAGAGTTGAAACTGTTTTAAGAAGTTCACCGTTGCTTTAGCAATCATTTATACACAAAAATTTCAATAAATAGAACCCTTTTCTTTTCGATTAAACTTGAAACATCAACAAATCTAATATTGCTGTA